GTGGTTCAAAATAGAGTCTATTTTAAAACATCATATACTCTAAAAATAGTTACATCTCAACAAGGTGACCATAACAATTTTGAATTAGAGTTTACTGTTTTCTAGAGACAGAAAAGCCCATATGGTATGACTGCAATTTCTGACAAGTATGCCAAGTTAATAAATTGTGGACTTTACAGGTTAGCTTACTTATATATGAAATCCCTTTTAACTAGAAGAATAAAGATCTATCACTAAAAATGCTTGCCAGAAAAAAATCATTTGCTTTAACTAATTGATATATTCTATTTTGCTGCCTTTAAAAAAAAAAAAAGACATCACACATGCAATTCACTCTATTATCATGTAACTGGCAGTAAATTAGAAAATTAAACTTATCAGACATATGGAGATGCAGATTGAAAGTTTTCAGAAACTGACAAGCTGGTAACAACCCAGATTGTAATTAAGAAGTACAGAAGTCTTGAATCAAGAGACATGAATATTTGTTGCCATTTAAATTAGCAGATTCTTTAAAAATAAAAAAAATTAAAAATTAAAAATCACACAATAAAACACTGGCAGGACGATTTCATACCTCAGAAATAAAACAAACCACATTAAATCTGATGTGCCTAAAAAAGAAACCAATGAAAATTTACATTTTTGATCTTATTATTAACTTCTTCCTCCTAATGTTTTCATGTAAAACATTGCTATCTAAGTTCCATTTCTAAAAAGCACAGGGAATGCAAACATAGAAGTCTCCAACTTTAATTGTTCTCTAATTTTTTATGAAGTCTACCTTCCTCTTTTCTTCCATCAACCTCATAATTTTCTATATGGCAAGTGTATTTTCTAAAGATTTTTCAAATGTTATCTGATTTTCCTTCACTGCTATTCTTATATTCCTCTCTTAGATTTTGAATTTCAAAATAATAATTTGATATTTGATACTGAATCTAAATATCCCAGTAAATACCAGGGATATTATAACTCTGCTCATGGGAAGGGACATATAACTGTACAGTGAAGGATTTTTACTTCCATTAGATACTTTCTTCATGCTGAGCAATGACTACATTTTGAAAAAAAATTGTCACATTTGAATTAGTTCTCGACATACCTCTGACAACTATGAAAACAAAAATTTGTATTCATTGCTTCCACAGATTTCATAGTTGAAGGAAATTGAAGCTATTCAATACGACAGAAAGTAAGTGTTGGAAACGATATATCTCCTGAAGTCAACAGGCTTCTTAATTTCAGTTGTCTGCTCTTTAGAAGCTATTTCTTCTTCAATATAAAGAAATTTCCAAGCTCAAATGTCTTGCCCTTGTAACAAGTTATGTGAATGCACAAAGCAAGTTGACTATATATATATAATTTCTTTTTTCTGTTTCATGAACAACAGTGTAATTTAGAACTTATATCAAGTTGGACACTAGGCAAGGAAATTTCTTTTGAAAAATGAAAATTAAAACATTTATGGAGATTCAATGAAGCAAACCATTTCCATGAAAATATATTGATTTTCATTAAAATGCTGTTGTGAAGACAACTGCGAATGACTTTCTACTTAAAAGGAACTGGTGGAGAAAAGCTGTAAGACATGTGCCAGGTACAATGCAGCTACAGAGCTGTAGTTTTATTACTTCTTTTTTTAATGAATCAATGAATATTTATTTTCAGCTATGTAACTAACTATGAAGCAAAATTATTCAAAGATGAGATTTGAATCATATATTAAAATTATTACACATTCGATTGAATAAGCTACACCTATAAATCTATTTTTGCAACATTATTTGAAAAACTTTGTCTTGCTCTCCATTTCCCACCAGTGTAGAACTATTATTTCTTTGAGTATTTTTATCTCAAAAAACATTATGGTACAGCACTTTTTATTTCTGGTCAGGCCTATTTGATTAGAAATAAATTATGGTTAGTTGAATAAAGAGTATTATTTTTGGTTTTGACAGTTCTTGGCTACAATGTTGAAGAGACATACAATGGGGTCAAAAGGAATTTCTTGTGCTTAATGTAGATTTATTAGTAGATGTAAAGAGCAAGACAAAAAGCAGACAATTTCAGTCATTACCCTCATTTTTCTTTACTTTGGGGATCCTTATATCTACTCCATTTAGCTTTGTTATTTGTACTCTATTAAAAAAAGCTATGAAGACTAGCATTCTAGAACTGGCAATTCAGTCAGTCAGTTATAAATCCCTATTTAATGAACTGATATATTATTAAAATATTTTGGCAATACAGTGCTAAATATCCTGAAAGTAACTCAATCTTTCTAATGATTTGGAAAACTGCATTCATAATCATAGTATTATTTCACTGTTCAAAAGCTGTTAGAGTTCTCTCAAATGCTGTCAGAGCTCCCCATTCACCCAAGTTTTCTCCCACTAAGTGCTTTTAACATCAGAGATGTCAATTTCCTAACAATTCCACACTTAATATGATACATAATTTAAGTAAATATTTAAGACAGTAAGCTAAGGAAAATTCAATTCACTTGTTTCATGTTTCACATTTTCAAAGACAAAAATTATTTTCTCTTTTGAAAGCTGAAACCCTGAAACTTTGAAAGCTGCATTCATGAATATGTTAGTCTGCTTGCATACCAGAAACTTCCTAAGCTATTTATTTTTTACAGCTTTCAAAGAATAGGTAAATTTTTACAAGCAAACAATTCACAGTATGCCAGTTAAGGAAGTACTATTGCTTCCTATTCACAACAAGCTTTTGTCATGACACCTTGGAAGAGGATTCACAGAACAAGAATTTGAGATACGTCACTTGCAACTCTTAAAGAAAGTACTCTTAAAAGCTTTAAAGAAAGGGCCTTAAAGTTCTTTTGAAAGAACAAGAACTTTTTAAAAAAGAAATGTGATTTTTCCATCATGTTTTTAAAGAGGGTTTCCCCTCAAATCCTTTGCATAAGATAGGAGGAGTTTGTTAACAAATTCCCTCTTTCTCTACGTAATGTTTGCTCTTATCACAGTCCATACTAATTTCCTGCAGCCTGAAGGAAAAAATAATGGTTTCTGTCACCTCAGAGACGATGCATCTGCTCTTTGCCTGTGCTCCTCACTTTTCTATCCCTTCTTCACATCCAAAGATTCTGCTGTTCCTCTATCACCCTCCCCAAGGTATCTTCCCTGCACTGTTGAAGTTTTTCCTGGCTATGCAGGAAAAACTCGTATGTAGATTCCCCCAATTGAGAGTGCTGTACTCAAGATAGGCAGTAAGGCACTCTTTCCCCACTCCCAACTGGTCTTCCGCACCCTTTAACACAAAACAGTAAGTCAAATAGATGTGAGCTGACTCACACCTAAATGAAGTAACATGATGCCTATGAAAATGTCATGCACTATGAAGCTTATCTGTTAGAGTTATGTTTTCACTGGGTCAGAAAAAAATATTCTAATTTCACTGCTGATTAGATGTATTTGTTTTTCACGTGAAGAGAATGTATGACTATTGCGCATGCTTGCAAATGCCATTGCAGTTAAATCAGAGCTCGCTTATTAATTACAACTGACTTCATTTTGGATCTGCCATCTTTTGTTGATGATTTCCCCATTACACATAATTCAGATTTTAGATCTGAGCATTAAAAAGAATAATAGATTATATACCTAATATCTCAGAAATGGGCACAGATCTTTGTGGACCTTGTGATATGTCAGATATGTATTAGTCACAAGTCTTCAAATGTATTATAATGAGTAATTTCATTCACCCAAAAAATATTTCAGTAAGTTGTTTTAAAGAATAAAAAGATTTTTTTAAAATCAATGTTTTTGTCTATTTTTTATATTTTTCATTATACTGCTTTTCACTCACAAAAAACCAAAATAAATCTGAAAATATGAAAGTAATCTACAAATATAAAAAAAATCATAAAAAGATTGAATTATTTCAAAACGTATCTGTTCAATTCTAATGCAATCTCATTCCAAAGTAGATCAGATGAATGCTGCTCTGACACCTTATTTCTCTCCACTGACAGATGAAGGTTAAACTGACTAGCTTGGATCTGGAAAACTACAATTTAAATGCCTAAATACAGAGAAACCACAGAACTAAGCTCAAGAAGTGCAAGATGGGTATAACTACCTGAACTGCAGTGGTAGAGAACACAGTTAAATCTGTGGAATACAACATGTTATTAGCTATTGTAAAGAATAAAAAAATAAGGACATAACTGTTTAACAAGAGAAGTAGATTCAATGAAATGTGCTCTATTACTTCAATAATAATTTCAGTATAGATCTTAAGGGACCATTATTTCTCAGAAATGATAAATAATCTACTTGTTCTGCAAGTTTAATTTCATGAGCCAGATGTTTTTAATTTTGTCAAAGCATGAAGAATTAAATGGCTACCAATATGATTTAATTTCTGAATAAGTAGCATATTTTGCTTCATTGATTCTGATTAATTTTTAGTATTAATACCATACCTCCACTGTCAGATAAAACTTGAAAAATTTTAACTATTATCAGATAAAATTCCTTAATTCTAAAAGTCTTTGTCTTAATCTACTTCACAGATGACTAAAGGAAGGGATAATCCTTGATTAAAAAAACCCCACAACCCAACAAAACTTCTCCTGATATTGTTCCTATGCACTACAATGACAATTACAAAGCTTTCCTAAAGCTAAACTAAAAGGAAGGGATTAAAAAGTATTTTGATGATTTACATACACTCTTACTATTCTTACCTGTATGTGATCATGTATCTAAATAAGACATATACTGTTCTGACCTAGCATAAAGTGCATCCATCATAGAAGGTTAATTCTTCACTAGGAATTGAAGTTATGAGAATTAACCTTCATAGGAATCGCCATTTCTATGATTTCAAAAGGACCACTTATGAATAAAGTTCCATGGAAGTACAGAATAATTTCAAGCCAAAACCAAAAAAAGGTATTTTTACTTATAGAGGATATATAGGATTCACAAGATTATAATTTAGATATTCCAAAATTGTCTTACCATGGTGTAGTTGTGAGCCACCTTCATAAGCTCTGTGCATCCTTGTGCATCAGCAAATGCTCGTATTCCCAAACAGTTGGATGGGTGCAAAAGCTTCATTAGAAAATGGCAGCAAACCTCTACTACTTGAGGAAGCTGGAGGAGGCAGGCAGCTGCTAGAAGATTTTCAATGGTATCTTCTTTCAATTCCAGGCAGCCTAAAAAAAAAGGGTTGGTAACACATGCAAACTTATTTACTTGGTATTTACAAAACATGCAGTATCAAAAGATATTTTTTAAAATAATTATAGTTCTACATAAATAAGTCTACAGTAAAAGTGAAGAAAAGAAGGATTAGTCTACGTGACTGAACATCTCAGGGACCTGAACATTACAGTATTAGAAACATATTTTTTTAAAATTCTATTAATTCAACAGAAACTCCGTGACATCCAGAACAAATGGTGGACCGATCTAGCTGCAAAAACTCAACTATGTGCAGATACAGGGGATCACAAAGGATTCTATGAGGCCCTGAAAACAGCATACGGGCCTACATACCAAGTCCAAAGCCCACTACTCAGTGCAGATGGTCAAACGCTTCTGACAGATCAAACCTCCATTCTGAATAGATGGTCTGAACACTTTCAGACTCTTTTCAGTACCAACCGTGTAGTACAAGACTCAGCAATTCAGTCCATCACACAACAACCAGTGAAATACGAATTGGATACTGCCCCCACTTTAGGAGAAACCCTCAAGGCCATACAGCAGGTGAAAATCGGCAAGGCAGCTGGGGTTGATGGAATTCCACCTGAAGTCTGGAAACATGGGGGCCTTGCACTCCATGCTAAATTTCATGAGCTTGTGGTGCGCTGTTGGGAACTAGGCGAACTACCTTCAGACCTTCGTGATGCAGTCATCATCACCTTGTATAAGAAGAAAGGTACTAAATCAGACTGTTCAAATTACCGTGGTATTACTCTGCTCTCCATTGCTGGCAAAATCTTGGCAAGAATACTCCTGAACAGACTAATACCCGCTATAGCAGAAGAAATTCTACCTGAAAGTCAGTGTGGCTTCAGAGCCAACAGGAGCACCACAGACATGATATTTGTTCTCAGACAACTGCAAGAGAAGTGTAGGGAACAGAACAAAGGTCTCTATGTAACCTTTGTCGACCTCACCAAGGCTTTCGATACTGTGAGCAGAAAAGGTCTTTGGCAGATTTTGGAACGTTTAGGTTGTCCCCCCAAGTTCCTTAAAATGATCATCTCACTTCATGAGGATCAGCACGGCCAAGTCAGATATGGCAACACACTTTCTGAGCCCTTTCTAATAAAGAATGGTGTGAAACAAGGCTGCGTTCTCGCTCCTACCCTATTCACAGTCTTTTTCAGTATGATGCTTCAAAGGGCCTCGGCAGACCTCGATGATCAGGACGGTATCTACATTCGATATCGTACTGATGGAAGCCTATTCAACCTAAGGCGACTGAAGGCCCATACTAAGACCCTAAACCATCTTGTCCGGGAGCTGCTCTATGCTGATGACGCCGCCCTTGTTGCCCACACAGAAGCAGCTCTGCAGCGTTTAACATCCTGCTTTGCAGAGGCTGCTGAGCTCTTTGGGCTGGAAGTCAGCTTAAAGAAGACTGAAGTTCTCCATCAGCCTGCACCTCAGGAAGTCCCCCACCGTCCCCACATCACCATCGGCCAGTCAGAACTCAATTCAGTCCAACAGTTTAATTACCTAGGCAGCCTCATCTCCTCAGATGGTAAGATTGATGGGGAGATAGACAATAGGTTAGCGAAGGCATACAGTGCTTTTGGAAAACTCCATAAACGAGTTTGGCGTAATAAACACTTGAAGAAAAGCACCAAGATCAGTGTTTACAGAGCCATAGTGCTGTCTACTCTTTTATATGGTTCCGAATCATGGGTCATCTACCGCCACCACCTGCGTCTCCTAGAACGCTTCCATCAACGCTGCCTCCGTACAATCCTTAACATCCATTGGTCAGACTATGTGACCAATACATCTGTTCTCGAACAGGCAGCAATCACAAGTATTGAGGCCATGCTCCTGAGAACGCAACTGCGTTGGGCAGGGCACATCTCTAGGATGAAGGACCACCGCCTCCCTAAGATCCTGCTCTATGGTGAACTTGCCACTGGCTGCCGCAAGAGAGGAGCTCCAAAGAAAAGATACAAGGACTCCCTGAAGCAACAACTCAGCCTCGGGCATATTGATCACCATAACTGGTCCACTCTGGCCTCTAATCGGGAGGCCTGGAGACAGACCATTTATAACGCTGCTGATGCTTTTGAGAAGGCACGCAGGATCACTCTTGAGGAGAAAAGACAACGCAGAAAGAATCGAACCTTGCAGAATATACCATCTAAGGAGTCTTTCTGCTGTGTCTTTTGCAACCGGACTTGCCTTTCTCGTATTGGCCTTTTTAGCCACCAACGCGCTTGCATGAAAAATGGGTAGAGCCCTTCCCAAATCTTCGTTCGCGAAGCCTAGCCATGATTAATTCAACTATATAATAGGCATACAAAGAGAGACTGTACAGGGTGGAATGGAAGAGAAGACATAGGAATATCAACAAGGCTGTGGATGGTTTTTTTGTTGTGTTTCTTTTCTTTTGTTTTTTTTCACTGAAGTTGGTGATAAAACCTGTGTTATGTTCAGTGGCACAGAGCAAACTTCAAAGTCATTTACTTCCCTGAAAAGAATGAAATAACTTCCTAGTATAGTATGAATAAACCCATAAATCACAGAATCTGCTGATTTTGAAGGGACCCACAAGGATCATCTAGTCCAACCCTTAGCCCTGCGAAGGATCATCCCTAGGACTCACACCATGTGCCCAAGAGTATCATTCAAATGCTTCTTGAACTCTGTCAGGCTTGGTGCTGTGACCACATATCTTCAAATAAGGCTTACAATCTTCCAACTTGGTGTTGCTTACTTGTAATGTGACTTTGGGGTTAATTTTATTGGAGAAACATATGGCAGGCTTCTCACAGCATATTGTTCTTCTAAAATAATTTATATTAGTGAAAAGTACATATATGCATGCCTAATACTTATATTCCATTAAATCATACTTATATTGTACTTAATTCTGTAATTTCACAAGTCAGCATCTTTACCTTGCAGATTGATGCACTTTTTAACAAATAAAAGGTAAAATAGAATAAAATAAACTTTTAAAAATTGTGGGTTTTTAATTGAGAAATATGTAATTCTTGTTATAATGCTCCCTCCCAACCAAAATTTTTATTTTTTTCATTAGTACCTTATAAATCTCTTGCATTAACAACTTAAGAAACCATAAATTAAAGATTACAAGGATGTCTTGTGGAACTGGAAAAAAAAAGTATAGGAAAATAAAAAAGTGAAATTATAAGTTGTAAAAAAAACTTCTGATTTTATTTTGCTGTACTTGGAAAATCAACTCAAACTATAAGAGAATTAAGTGTATATAGATCTTTCTCTACAAAGTGATATAGTTCAACACTCAGATAAACTCCTTTTTTTCTCCACACAAACTTTGTATCTGTTGTCACATAAAAAAAACCCCACACCTACAAATCTTAACAGTTCTATCTCATGGCACTAAGGAGTTCTAAAGCCATCAACTTCACAACAGTATGACATTGAAAAGCTGCTTTATATTGCAATATCAAACCCAAAATACAGTAACATTAACACTACACATCTGATCTTTTCTACTTTCACTGTATCTGGAGCTTTTAATACATGATGGAAACTGAAGTTATACTTTACTAGATGTAGTTATAATACATCCTTTTGCAATCCTTTGCATTGGATCAAGTGCACAGCCTAATTTCAGTAGTTTTCCTCTGCTTATTTTTATACTTCTATTAATGTCACGTGACCTTCTCTTCATGTTATCTGACAGTTTCTCAGAATTTCTGTCCACCACACCTTTATGCAATGTGGTCAGAAAGCACACTCAGCAGCAGATTTCTTGGGTGACCTCCAATCAATTTAGCAATGACACTCCCACATTTGCTACATGCTTGCAGGTAATGACTAGCTCAACATACAATCTATTATCTTGAAGATGGTTTCATTGTGTCAAGTGGAATATATCAGAAGATAGTTGTTTTCAGGTTAAAAATTATCACCCTGGTACCAGGGGGAAGAAAATTAAAAATGTGCAAAACACCCGTGAAAAGTAGATGGACTGAGAAATGGAAAAAAAATTTTTAAAAAAAAGGAGCCCTCAATCTCCTTTACTTATGTGTTATTTACTTTTTCAACAATGAGCTCAATAAAGTCTCTGGCCCTGTAAAACCGATCCAGATATCATTTGCAAAGTGATGCAAGTATTGAAAGAATGACCATCATTTTGAGGAAAGGTAACGGTATAGTTACCATAGTTTGGTTTTTTATCACTGAATTTAAATCAATAAAAATCATTATCTGTTCTATAAATTACATATTTCTTTATGCAACCAACATGGCTATTTTGAAGAAGATCCTTCACATTTTTATGAAAGAGTGTGAACACATTTCTGCCTTACACATTAACAGAGGATGTAAATATACAATGGTTTCTGGGGTATTTAGGTATATATTACAGCTTGACTTATTTTTTAATAAATTCAGAAGTACTAATTTACTGCTTACTATTTACTATGATAAGAGCAAGAAAAGTACACTCAATATGAGTTAAAGGGTTTATTGTTCTTCATTCTTTAGGCTTCAATCATAGATACGTTTTTAATCCATCTAAATATTTTCCAAGTCTCTTATCTTCTTTTTTAAACATCAAGACACCTTCATAAATTTGTTCACAAGGGCTGTATTCACTTTTTCAGAAGAATGCTATGACATTTTTATGCAAACTGCTCTGAGATATCAAATGGTCAGAGTTTGAAAAAAGAAAGCTGTTAGGAAGCTCTGAATATACAATCTTCAGATAGTTTCATATTGGCAATTAGAAGATCCAAGTATCTATTTAAAAATGTTTAATAGGAAAATCAAGGGGGCATTAATATTATTGCTTCTTCAATTCACCTCCCCCTCATATTTTTATGCAATAAGTAGCTTACACAAGTGCTTCAGTCTGAGAAAAACAAATTAACCAGAGCTTTAAATCTTCTTTTGTATTGAATTAATTAAGATGAAAAAAATATGAGGAAAAAACAACCAAAAGAACTTTTATGTATTCTAATTG